CACTTTGCTGTGACGTTTTTGGGCTGCTGGAGAACTAGTATTTGCGTAACAACAATAATAAAGGCAGCTGATCTAATGTAAACAAACATGAGTTAGTATACGGTGAATCTTCATCTAACCCCAGAGATGCACCAAATGTCTGTTTATCATTTGTGTTATTGTTTACAATCTTTATTATTGTTGTTACGCAAAAACCAGTTCTCCAGCAGCCCAAATACGTCACAGCAAAGTGTACGGAAACCTTATTGCCCCCTCCTTGTATTCAATTCTCCTTGGATCAGATGGAATTATACGGACCCCTGCACTATTCACTGAAATCTGAACAACATTAAAAGTTATTTATCGAATTTTTAGATAGCCTTGACTTTAAGGCTTTGCAACCGCTTGGGCTTTAATTTCAGCTCACCATGCCACTCATACTTTTGTATAGCCCTGGGAATATTTATTCTTTATCGCTTATGTTTAAATGGAGTAATTAACGAAATACTGTTTAATTTTTGCACTGCACAATTGCTGTGTTATATGTTCACTGGATTTCTTAAAGGCATAACTTAAGTCGAATACTTTTTTACTATTCTGCCGATTTACATTTTCTTTACAATTACATTGGAAGCCGGGTACCCCTGTTAATTTTGTTATTTGATAATGGACTTTGGTTTTTGACCTTAAGTATGCTCCTTCAAAAATATTTTATCTTTACTTTGCTAAAAAACATAATACATAGTAAATAATGATAAAAAATATTAAAAAAAAACATTTTAAGATGGCTTTTCAAGATATTTTTGAAATTTTATATTACATTATTTATCATTTTTACTTATATTTAAAAACTTTAAAACAAATCTTTGCTCCGCTCTTTACAAATATTTACAATGCATTAATTTTGCAAGGGGTTTTTATTAGGGAAAATTATAGGGTTGTTATCAAGTATTTAATTATGTTTAATTTTAATTTGTTCAGCTTTCGTCAATCTTGGTTTCATTTATTAAAATTGAAATCGGAACAAAATTCTAAATAGCTCCGGTAATTTTGACACCACTTAAAAGGCAGACCACATTTTGGAAATCCCAGGACTAGACAATTTTGTGATTACTGTCTGTGAAAGAAGGTTGGCGACTGAATCTCTCCAATAATTTAAAAAATAAAAGACGAATTTTAAATCATGTTTCGTGTGACACCCTGTAGCAGAAGGATATTTTACATTATTAACACTGAACACTGATATGTAAAGTAGATTAACATTTTTTCTAAAAGATTCTATACGATGTTTGTTTTTTTAAATCACAAATAAATAAACTTAACATTTTTTAGATAATGGTTGTCAGTTGAAAACATGTGACAATCTCAGATCATATTAAATAAAAAGATAATTTGCAATTATTTTCACATTTTAAAGAAATAAGACAGTTATCATTCTATGAGATTTGTTGCTGTCAGGGAGATAAAAAATAACTTTATAAATGTGTAAGTTTTAAGTTGGAGGGGGCGGTGGGTGAGAGGATCTGATATCTAATAAATGTAAAATCTATTTGTTAAGAATTGCTGACAAGAATATAGAATCAGTGAGAACCAGAAAACTCTGAAATAGGAAGACGACTTAAAGGAATAGTCCAGGGAGTAAGGAATAGTCCGATGAACATGAGACACAGCAATTGTGCAGTGTAAACAGAAAAGATCTTTTTACTTAAAAATCTGGCCAGGCCGGTTTTGATTGAATAAGTACCTTGAGAACAGTGTCAGCAATATCTTTATAAACGTGTATTATCTGGCATCATCAGATCATTAAGTAAAAGGGTCTGTTCACCAACAGACAAAATCTACAGATAATTACGAAGTTCATGTGAACGATATTAAGATTGTTGCCTCCAATAGAGTATTTCAAAAGCTTAAAAATGGTTTGATAAAAAGTTCACAACTGAATGTAACATACAAGGATGTAAAAATAAGACGGATTTAATTCCGTACCGTGGTTTCTGAATATTCTTTAATATTTTATTTTCAATTATTATCAATTAAAATATTTAAAGTAGATCGCTATTTTTCACTGCCTTATAACTAACATTACCAACCTATGATTCACTTATACAGAGGAACGGTAAGCTATAAATTAGTTAGGGGAATCAAAGTTAATCAATTGGTTAAATAAAAAGGAACTGTATCCACTCCGCGAAGTTTTTGTTACTGCGCAGCGGAAACCCTCGAGAAAGAAAACTACCTATAACTTCCCTGTAAAGTACAGGGTGTCCGAAAAAACATGGGAATTCAAGGAAGAATTGGATATCGTCTTTGCTATGAATTAGCATTATAATACCTAATTTCAAAAGCCATAATATTATTATGTCTGTTAGAGTTTATTTTATGAAAAGGGTAAAAGACTTCAAAGATGTGTCTATAATGCCTCCGCAAGACGAACAGTGATCGAAGACGGACAAGTTTACTGTGGTTGAATACTGCAATTTTCTTGTTTTACTAAGTTCAACTGTATGCAGTCAAAAAATAAACAAACAAAATGTGAACATAGCAGACAGATTACAGCTTTCTCAGTACTAAATCAGAGAATTATTTGAAAAGACGATATCGAATTCGTCACTGGATTCCCATAATTATTGGGACACCCTGTAGCTTGAAATAATTATTAACAATTTTCAACAGGTTTTGATGTTTTATCAAAACTGGGCTGGAAAAATAAAATATTATTACCAAAAATAGAAAATTTTGTTTATTGAGAAGCAAAAGACTTAAGTTTACCTTGGGATTAAAAGCTTTAGGTTGTTTTTTGTCTAATCCTTTTAGGGTAACCTTGTACTTGATAAAAAAATGTCAAATTACAGGGTTAACCACAAAGGATGAGATTGTAAAGACGACCTGAAACTCTTACAATATGACGATCCAAATATTAAATTAAATATTCTTCTTAAAATATTGTCTTTTATTGGCTTATTTAATGTTGGCCAACGAAAAAAAAACAGTTTATAGTTGCTGGAAATCATGAATTAAACAGACAGTAAAAAGTAAAAAAAAGAGACAGCTCACATCACAGTATTGAATTATTCTTTATAAATTGAATTTGGTTGTATACTCTCATTTGTCTTGGATGTTGTAACTAATAATTGCAGTAATTGAAGAAGAATTTCAAATCTACAGAAATCCGTCAAATGAATTAATGACATAAGGACGTTCATGATGTCCCATATCATTATTAAATAGCATCTTATCTGAACAAAACAATTCTTTAGAAGATAACATTATGGAACATCATAACAAGCACAGGGTGTCCCATGAAAGATGACAGTAGCAAGACGACTTGAAAGACGTCTTAAATCTTGGAATTTGTTTGGGACATTCTCTGGGCTGAGCGATGCGTGAGTATTTTCAACATGAGGATATTCAGGTGACGTGCTGTAGTTGCAGCAAACTCAAATGAGAACAAGGATATCTCACACGTCAGTGTTTATTTTCAACATGTCCTTGAGGACAAGGATATATCACACCTTCGTGTTTACTTACAACACATCTCTTAAGTAACTTTCTGTAGTAGCAGCAAACTCACATTAAGGACAAGGATATCTTACACCTTCATGTTTATATTAATATGACTCTTTAAGTGACTTGCTGTTGTTGCAACATAATCACATTCAGAACAAGGATATCTCACACCTTCATGTTTATATTCAACATGCCTCTTTAAATAACTTGATCTTGTTGCAACATGCTCTCATTGAGAACAAAAATATCTCACACCTTCATGTTTACTTTCAACATGTCTCTTTAGGTTATCTGCTGTAGTTGCAGCAAACCCACATCGAGGACAAGGATATCTCACACCTTCATGTTTATATTCAACATGTCTCTTTAAATAACTTGATCTTGTTGCAACATGCTCACATTGAGAACAAGGATATCTCAACCTTCGTGTTCACTTTCAACATGTCTCTTTAGGCTACATGCGGTAGTTGCAGCAAACTCACATTGAGAACAAGAATATCTCACACCCTCATGTTTACATTCAATATGATTCTTTAAGTTACTTTCTGCAGTTGCAGCAAACTCACATTGAGAACAAGGATATCTTACTCTTTCATGTTTAAATTCAATATGTTTCTTTAACTTACTTGCTGTAGTTGCAGCAAACTCACAATAAGGACAGGGATATCTCACACCCTCATGTTTATATTTAATATGACGTTCTAAGTTACTTGCTTTTGTTGCAACATAATCACATTGAGAACATTGATATCATTCTTGACTCTTCTTGATTCTCTTTGGCTTGGGTTCAGATTGTAGAGGATCAAGATCATTAATAACCATGTTTTCTACTGAATAGTAAAAGATTGAGAATATATTTATTAAATGGCTAATTTCAAAAATAGCACGGGCAACGGTAATTTATTAAACTGGTTATTGAATATTGATAATTATCATATTAATATAATTTACCGCCGACCCATGATTCCCCACATACAGAATGAAATAAAGTTATGTTATTTCTCTTGGAAAATCAAGTAAAATAACCCCCCGCTCTGAGAAGAGAAGAGAAAATATATCGAGAAAAAAATTAAAACCTTAGCCCAGAAATTGGTTTACTCTAACCTAACCTTCAAAATTAAGATTACATCATATTTTACTTATAAAATATTGAAAAATTAGTTCAATTGAAAAATACCTGGGTAGTTCTTTTGAACGTATATGTAAAGGAATATTTATTTGATGTAAATTAGACGTATGTATTGAATTTGCATGTGTGGGGGGGGATGAGCTAGACAATTTAAGCTAGTCTACTCATTATATAATCAAACAAATATTATTTAAAGTATTAAATATTGTGAATTTTACCTTGTATTCTTGTATTTTTCATCTTTATAACATCTTTATGTAGATTAACAGTGCATGTATTATCTTCAGTAGAGGAGGGAAGGATTTCGTCCTTGAAGGAAATTGTTTCTTCTTTTATCTCAAAGTCTTCCATATTTAATTCTTCTTTAATAATCTCGGCCATTCTGTCTGAAAAAAAATTCAGCGTAAAATAGAAAAATTTTGAAATCAATGTTTATATTCAATATGTCTATTCAGGTTACTCGCTGTAGTTGCAGCAAACTCACATTGAGGACAAGGATATCTTACTTCTTCGTGTATACTATCAACATGACTCTTTAAATTACTTGCTGTAGTTGCAGCATACTCACATTGAGAACAAGGATATCTCACTCCTTCGTGTGTACTTTCAACATGTCTCTTTAAATCACTTGCTCTTCTTGCAACATACTCGCATTGAGAACAAGGATATCTAACTCCTTCGTGTATACTTTTAATATGATTCTTTAAGTTACTTGCTGTAGTTGCAGCAAACTCACATTGAGGACAAGGATAACTTACTCCTTCGTGTTTATTTTTAACATGACTCCTTATATGACTTACTGTTGTTGCAACATACTCGCATTGAGAACAAGGATATCTCACTCCATCGTGTGTACTTTCAACATGTCTCTTTAAATCACTTGCTCTTCTTGCAACATACTCGCATTGAGAACAAGGATATCTCACTCCTTCGTGTATACTTTTAATATGATTCTTTAAATTACTCAATGTAGTTGCAGCAAACTCACATTGAGGACAAGGATAACTTACTCCTTCGTGTTTATTTTTAACATGACTCTTTAAATGACTTGCTGTTGTTGCAACATACTCGCATTGAGAACAAGGATATCTCACTCCTTCGTGTTTACTTTCAACATGTCTCTTTAAATCACTTGCTCTTGTTACAACATGCTCACATTGAGAGCAAGGATATCTCACTCCTTCGTGTATACTTTCAACATGAATCTTTAAATGGCTTGCTGTTGTTGCAACATGCTCACATTGAGGACAAGGATATCTTACTCCTTCGTGTATACTTTCAACATGTCTCTTTAAATCACTTGCTCTTGTTGCAACATGTTCACATTGATAACAGGGATATCTCACTCCTTCGTGTTTCCTTTCAACGTGTCTCTTTAGATCACTTGCTCTTGTTGCAGCAAACTCACATTGAGAACAAGAATATCTCACCCCTTCATGTTTACATTCAATATGATTCTTTAAGCTACTTGCTGTAGTTGCAGCAAACTCACAATGGGGACAAGGATACCTCACCCCTTCATGTTTACATTCAATATGCTTCTTTAAGCTACTTGCTGTAGCTGCAGCAAACTCACAATGAGGACAAGGATATATCACCCCTTCATGTTTATATTCAATATGATTCTTTAAGCTACTTGCTGTAGTTGCAGCAAACTCACATTGAGGACAAGGATATCTCACACCCTCATGTTTATATTTAATATGACGTTCTAAGTTATTTGCTCTTGTTGCAACATAATCACATTGAGAACATTGATATCCGTCTTGACACTTCTTGATTCTCTTTGGCTTTGGTTCAGATTGTAGAGGATCAAGACCATTAATAACCATGTTTTCTCCTGGATAGTAAAAGATACAATATTTATGAGTAGAGAGTGGGAAAATATTTATTAAATTGCTAATCTTCTTATCCCTTAACCAAGCCAATAATTTCAAAAATAGCCCGGGCAACGGTACTTCATTAAACTGGTTAATGAATATTGATATTTATCATATTATATAATTTACTGCCATTTGAGTCTTTGACCAACATTGCCAACCCATGATTCCCCATGTGTTCTCTCTTTGAAAATTAAGTAAAATAACCTCCCGCTCTGAGAAGTTTTTATGAAAATATTCATGCATTTTCATCTCAAAAGACGATAAAATTGTGTACAACTACCTTTTCTGGAAGTTTAAAAATACACTTTACCACAGGTTCCTTTTAAAATAGTTTAAATAATTATTATTTATTATCTATACTTTCTAATGTAAGCATAATTGCCAAAAATGTTATTTGCATATCTGGCAGAAGATCCAATAAAGCTACAGTTACCCTGTTCATTGCATTAAAGCGATACATATTTTGTTAACAATTTTGAGAGGCGAATAACAATGAATTCTTTCGACACCTCACAATATTTTTTTACCCCATCCTCCCCCCCTTTAACGTAAAAACAAAAAGTTTACAAAATTAGGAAGTTTACCTTGTATTTCTGCATTTTCCAGCTTTATTTTTACTTCAGGTATATTAACAAACCATGTATCCTCTACAGTAGAGGTTATCTCAGATTCTTTATTCATATTCTCCGCCATTTTATCTAAAATATATATTAAACGTGTTAAACTAAATACAGACAAATTTTCCTAATGAAGATATTATTTTTCAGGAGAAATTAGTTTAAAAACTAGTTCACTTGGCCCATTATTAGTAATGAATGTTAGAAATGGGCCAATTCATGAATTAAAAAATTGAGCTTTTAGGATCCCGTGTGGATGGGCAGGGAAAATATAACAATAATAATATAGCCACTAAAAATATAACCACCAAAAATATAACGTACTAAAATATATGTTGCCAAAAATATAAAGATCCAAAAATATAATAATTTTTGAGATAATAATATAGTGCAGAGAAGGAGGGGTTTCTCTATGCTTCTTTTCCCCAACCCCCCAACCCCCTCTTGCCAAAAAAACAAGGAAAATATAGAGACGGAACTCTGTAAATCCTGGATAGAGACGGGAACTCTGTAAATCCTGGATAGAGACAGGAACTCTATAAACCCTGGATGGAGACGGAAACTCTGTAAACCTTGAATAAGTACGGGAGTTCTGTAAACCTTGGATTAGAATCCTGATGGGTGTACACCAACCAGACAATCAGCATTTTACCTAAATATCCAACCAAAAAGATTGAACTTCGAAATAAGGAACAAATTCTTCAGCAACCTTAACGTCAAAACCTGGAACAAGCTCACAAATAACATCAAAGATGCTCCACACCTGAAGCTTTTCAAATCTCTTCATGACAAAACCTGGATGGAGATGTGGATAATTATAAACCAGAGAACTCTGCTAATCTTCTACTTGAAGTACCCAGGAGTAACAAACACAAACAAACAAACAAACATACCATGCACTAGGATACCAGTTTATACTATACTGGCTTCATGGAAAATATTGATGTAAACAAGGCCATTTTCTGAAGCACTGTGTCCAAGATAAACTTACAAGAACCAATATTCTTTTGTCAAAAATATCCACTCCTTTCCTATCCTTCCTTATTCCATTTGTCATTATTAAGGCTCAATTCTGACATAGAAAATCCTCAGAATGTTTAAATCACTAAAAAATCAATTTATGTTTGAACCTGAACCTTCAAACAGTTAAGTCCGACATTCCAAGCAAACTGAAAACTGCAGATCAGCTAAAAACTAATGAAAGTCAGAGAAAAAATTCACTGCTATTTTTCTAAGGGGATGATGGAGATGGCATGTTTGATGTAGGAGAAGGGGGGGCCCTGCCTTCATTTTTGGTTCAAATCTTCCAATTTTTTGGCTGCAGACCTAATTAGTGATCTGAATTCCTAAAATAAAATAAATTGAATTTTAATGACCTCTAATAACCTCTAATGACCTCCACAAAAAGAAAGTATTTTAACTATGACTTAGTGCAAATCAAACCAAAGCTAGGAACCCAGGGAATACAGTAGCAGCAAAAAATCCAGTGTTTGACCTTCAAATGACCTCTTACGACCTCTAATGACCTAAATGACCTCCAAAAATGAAAATGTTTTAACTATGGCTTTATGAATATCAATTAAAAACTTGGAATCCCAGGAAAACAGTAGCAGCAACGAATCCAGTGTTTGACCTTCTAATGACCTTCAACGACCTATAATGACCTAAATGACCTCCAAAAATGAAAATGTTTTAACTATGGCTTTATGCATATCAAACTAAAGCTAGGAACCCGGGGAATACAGTATCAGCAACAAATCCAGTGTTTGACCTTCTTATGACCTCTTACGACCTCTAATGACATAACTGACCTCCAAAAATAAATTTTTTTTAACTATGGCTTTATGCATATAAAACAAAAGATAGGAACCCAGGAAATACAGTAGCAGCAATGAATCCAGTGTTTGACCATCTAATGACCGCAAACGACCTAAAATGACCTCCAAAAATAAAAATGTTTTAACTATGGCTTTAGGCATATCAAACGAAAGCTAGGACCCAGGGAATACAGTAGCAGCAACGCATCCAGTGTTTGACTTTCTAACAACCTTTAATGACCTCCAAATTGAAAATGCAGCAACAAATCTAACCATTTACAACTCTTTATTTCGATCATTTATTGAATATGGAATTTCAGCCTGGGGATGTAACAAATGTTCAGAAATTCTGTATTCCCTGGGTTCCTAGCTTTTGATTTATATACATATAGCCATTGTACAAACATTTTTATTTTAAAGGTTATTTTAGGACATTAGAGGTCATTAGATGGTCAAACACTGGATAAATTGCTGCTACTGTATTCCATGGATTCCTAGTTTTCGTTTGATATGCATTAAGTCATGGTTAAAACATCTTCATTTTTGGAGATCATTTAGATCATTAGAGGCCGTTAGAGGTCCTTAGAAGGTCAACCACTGGATTCGTTGCTGCTACTGTATTCCTGGGGTTCCTAGCTTTTGATTGATATGAATCCAGCCATAGTTCAAACATTTTCATTTTTGGAGGTCATTTAGGTCATTAGAGGTCATAAGAGGTCATAAGAAGGTCAAACACTGGATTTAATGCTGCTACTGTATTCCCTGGATTCCTAGCTTTTGTTTAATATGCATAAAGCCATAGTTGAAATATTTTCAATTTGTGGAGGTCATTAGAGGTCATCAGAGGTTATTAAAATTCAATTTGATTTTATTTTAGAAATTTCTATCACTAATTAGGCGTGCAGCCAAAAAATTGGAAGGTTTGAACCAAAAATTAAGGCAGGGTCACCCCCCCCCCACACATCAAACATGCCATCTCCACCAACCCCTTTTGTCAAACTATTTTTGACCAAAAATATAAAAAAAATTTTAAACCACTAACTTAACCTTTTCAAATTAAAAATAAAACCATTTTCAGCCATGAAAAAACTATTATTTTGACTAAAATGAAATATATGAACACTACAGATAACATGGAAAACAATTGATGGAATTTTTATTAAACCTGAAGTCTTTTACATGGTTATATTTTTGGTTTAAAATATGGTTATATTTAATATTTTAAAAATTGTATTTTTTTGTAAAGAAATGGTCATATTTTTGTTTAAGAAATGGTTATATTTTTAGCGAAAGAATTGTTGTATTTTAATAACAATTTTAAAACCAAAACCTAACCTTTTCAAATAAAAATATAATCATTTTCGTTCAAAAATATAACTATTTTCGAAAACAATTGATTGAATGTTTATGAAAACTAAAGAGCTTTACATGGTTTTATTGGTTTAAAAAATGGTAATATTTTGGATTTAAAAGAAATGATTATATTTTTGTTTGAGAAAATATTTACATTTATTTGTCAAAATATGGTTATATTCTAAGTAAAAAAGTGGTCATATTTTAGGTTAGTTATTTTTTGGCCGGTTATATTTTTATCAGTAATATTATTGGTAGTTATATTATTGGCGCTATATTTTTCCAGTGTGGCCTTGCTTCATGGTTAGCCATAAAATGGACATAAATTCTATACATCATTATTTTCCGCAGATTTTTAGCTCATTTTCCTAAATGTAAACAATAGACAAGAGGGGAGGAGGAGGAAGGCATGGGAGGAGGAGGAGGGAGGGTGGTGGGAGGTACGGGCAGAGACCTAAGGGGAAAACATGGGACCCATCAAATTATCATAGACATAATCTACTTTTTTAACATTGGTTTTGGTCTAAATAAAAGTAAAGAAAAAAAAGGTTAGGCACAGAAATTGTTTTACCCTAACCTAACCTTCAAAATTAAGATTACATCATATTTTACTTATAAAATTAGATGTATGTATCAAATTTGCATGTGTGGGGGGGGGAATGAGCTAGACAATTTAAGCTAGTCTACTCAGTATATAATCAAACAAATATTATTTAAAGTATTAAATATTGTGAAGTTTACCTTGTATTCCTGTATTTTCCATCTTTATATCATCTTTATGTAGATTAACAGTACATGTATTATCTTCGGTAGAGGAGGGAAGGATTTCTTCCTTGAAGGAAATTGTTTCTTCTTTTATCTCAAAGTCTTCCATATTTAATTCTTCTTTAATAATCTCGGCCATTCTGTCTGAAAAGTACATTCAGTGTAAAATAGAAAAATTTAGAAATTAAAAGATTTTTAAAGATTTTATTTAAATAATGGATTCTCTCAGATTTTTGCATGCAGCCCTGAATGGGAACTATTTCTTAATAAAAAAACAAAAACAGGAGAAAACAACAATTTCCTCTCATTTTTTCAAAACCTGTATTAGTCCCGCATTGGGTGTCAATAGTCATCTGTTAGGAAACTATATTTTAGACTTTTAGAATACCTTTCACCCTGTACTAATACACATATAGACTTTCAGAATACATTTCACCCTGTCCTAACTCAATTTTAGACTTTCAGAATACCTTTTACCCTGTCCTAATACAATTTCACCACCTTTCCTGCATTTTCCCCTTAAAAACGCCCTTGAAGCCTTCTTACTTTGTTCCTTGAAATTTTTCTCAGATTTGTCAGCTAATTTTTTCCTGTATTTTCCGGAAATTTTTCAAAAACTTTTTCAGGTCCATGTGGGATGTCAATAGTCATCAACTTTCGGTCGGGAACCTCAATTATAGACCCCCCCATACAACAACCCCTATTTCCCGCATTTTCCCCTACCAAAGTGACAATGAAGTCTTCTGAAAATTATAATCAATAGTTTTAAACAAATTTATAAATGACATTGTAATTGACCAATTTCATATTTAGATATAAAAATATCCTTTGAAAACACAGATTACAGAAAATAAATAACTACAGGTATTAAGCTAAATTTATAAAAGTGTGATTTTGTAAATTATTTTAAATTAAAGGGAACATATAATAATTAGGTTAAAGGGTTACTTACAAAAGATAAAACTTCAGAGACGACTGTACAGAATGTAAACTGTCTGATTCCTTATATTCACGACTCCCTGCAACTGTAAACTTGTTTTTTTTTCTTTGCCAAATCATTAAATAAACCATTAAAAGCAGCAGACTTAATTTAACCTTAAGATCTTCATATTATTCTGAGTTTCAGGTCGTCTATGTAGTCTCATCTTTTGTGGTTAACCCTGTATTTGAGAATCTACTGAAGGTAATAAACAAAATTTAAGGAAAACATTAGATACTCCAATTAGATTTAATTACAAAACAAGCATCATTCTGTAGAACTAACTTTAAAAACCATTCATGATTAATCAAAACTTAACACTTCAGACAACATTTTACTTTTCACATGGCTCTTCATATTCCTTGCTATAGTTCCAACATATTCACATTCAGGGCAAGGCTATATCACTTCTTTGTGTTTATTTTTAACATGAATTTTCAGGTAAAGTGCTGTAGTTGCAGCAAATTAATATTGGGGACAATGATATCTCACATCTTCGTGTTTATAATTAATATGATTCTTTAAATCACTTGCTCTTGTTGCAACATGCTTACATTGAGAGAAAGGATATCTCACTCCTCCGTGTGTGCATTTTCCTTATGAATCTGCAGGGTACCTGCTGTAGTTGCAGCATACTCACATTGAGGACAAGGATAGCTTACTCCTTCGTGTATACTATCAACATGATTTTTAAATGACTTGCTCTTGTTGTAACATGCTTACATTGAGAGCAAGGATATCTCTTTCTTTGTGTATACTTTCAACACGACTCTTTAAATGACTTGCTCTTATTGCAAATGACTTGCACATTGAGGACAAGGATATCTCACTCCTTCGTGTGTACTTTCAACAAGTCTCTTTAAATCACTTGCTCTTGTTGCAACATGCTCACATGGAGAACAAGGATATCTCACACCCTCATGTTTACATTCAATATGATTCTTTAAGTTACTTGCTGTAGTTGCAGAAAACTCACATTGAGGACAATGATAACTTACTCCTTAGTGTTTATTTTTAACATGACTCTTTAAATGACTTGCTGTTGTTGCAACATGCTCACATTGAGGACAAGGATTTCTCACTCCTTCGTGTATACTTTCAACATGTCTCTTTAAATCACTTGCTCTTGTTGCAACATGTTCACATTGAGAACAAGAATACCTCACTCCTTCATGTATACTTTTAACATGTCCCTTTAACTGACTTGCTGTTGTAGCAGCAAACTCACATTGAGAGCAAGAATATCTAAAATCACGTTTTCTTACTAAATGATTCTTTAAATTCCACGCTCTTTTTGCAACATGAGCACATTCAGGACAAGGATATCTCACACCTTCATGTTTATATTCTTTATGATTCTTCAAGTTACTTGATGTAGTTGCAGCAAACTCACAATGAGGACAAGGATATCTCACACCCTCATGTTTATACTTAATATGACGTTCTAAGTTACTTGCTCTTGTTGCAACATAATCACATTGAGAACATTGATATCCGTCTTGACACTTCTTGATTCTCTTTGGCTTTGGTTCAGATTGTAGAGGATCAAGACCATTAATAACCATGTTTTCTCCTGGATAGTAAAAGATACAATATTTATGAGTAGAGAGTGGGAATATATTTATTAAAT